ATTATCTGGGTTAAATATTATGTTTGTAAAATACTTATCAGGGTGCCTGGCATGAGTTTTTATGTACAATAAATGACTATGATTATGATCTTACACAATAGGGTTGTAAACTCAAATGCAAGCAGTATAAGTGAGCAAAGCCACTGGGCATAATGAGAATGTGGGGAGTCAGGTGTGGTGGTACAAGCCTGTAATCCAAGCAACTCAGGAGGATCACAAGTTCAAAGCCAGCCTCAGCAACAGCAAGGCCCTAAGCAATTTAGTGAGATACTGTCTCAGAATCGCAGAATAAAAAATAAAGAAGACTTGGGGGTGTAGCTCAGTAGTACAGCCCCTCAATTTAACCCCCAGTACCATAAAAGAAAAAAAAAATGAAACTGAGAGATAGGCTGCTGTCCTGCCTGGTGATCTGCCATGCTGGGTTGACAATGCTGGGATTTAGCTGGCATGTTCTGGTGTTGTGATTAAATATTTTGAATTTTACCCCAGGATTGGGCTGCCCAATCACCCTGTTTTCCAAAAAAAGCCCGAAACATATGGAATTAAATTTTTCTAATTCACGCCCTGTTCCTTCTGAGGAATTCACAGGAGGTGGGAGGGGGTTGTTTAGTGGAGATGGCCTGACGTGCAGGCCTCTCCCAGCCCTAAGTTCCAGGTAGATCTTTTAAGGCCCTCATTCCCCCGGATCTTGCTCTTCTGCCACCAGTCATGACTTGTGCTGACCCTGGTGAGATCACCAACGGGCACCGGACGGCCTCAGACGCTGGCTTCCCTGTTGGCTCCCATGTCCAGTACCGCTGTCTGCCAGGGTACAGCCTGGAGGGGGCAGCCGTGCTTACCTGCTATAGCCGAGACACAGGCACACCCAAGTGGAGCGACCGGGTCCCCAAGTGTGCCTGTGAGTCTGGGGAACCTCCAGGAAGGGGGCTGGGTAACTTTGGCAACAGCCTGCAGGCCCTTGCTGGGCCTGCGCAGTAACACCAGTGGCATGTTGACTGGCCTGCTCCCTGCAGTGAAGTACGAGCCGTGCCTGAACCCCGGCGTTCCAGAGAATGGCTACCAGACCTTGTACAAGCATCACTACCAGGCTGGCGAGTCTCTACGCTTCTTCTGCTACGAAGGCTTTGAGCTCATCGGCGAGGTCACCATCACCTGTGTGCCGGGCCACCCCTCACAGTGGACCAGCCAGCCCCCGCTCTGCAAAGGTGCCTGGGCAGACAGAGCAGGAGGGGCACGTCAGTGTCCAGGGACTGACAGGGCTGGGAAAGTTGGATAGAAAATTCAAGACCAATGGGTGACCCCACTGAGCTCCCTCTTCTCTTCCTGTGGGCTCATCCTCACAGGCATGTCCAGAAGTCCTGAGGAAATCTGAGGTCACRGAATTATCTTAAGGGATGTAGTAGAGGGGGCCTTGGTTTGGAAGTCCTTTGCCCACTCTAGATAGGTCTCAGTGTCCCCATGGCTGACGAATTCTAAAGACCTGGTTGGCTCAGAATGTTCAGGAACCTTGAACCTTAGGGGTCTGGAGAAGGAAGACCTTGGCCCTGCCGGGATCAGTCCTCTCTCCCCCACCAAGGGAGCAAAGGGCAGAGAACCAGGCTGTCCAGCCCAGCCCCACTGGGCTCTGACCCTTTACCCAGCCTCCTTCCCTCCCTGGCTCAGACCCCGTCCCCCTCCCCCTCCTCTCCCTGCAGTGGCCTATGAGGAGCTCCTGGACAACCGAAAACTGGAAGGTCAGTGAGGGCAAGGTGGAGGCCCAGGCCTGGCCAGGTCGGGAGGGCAAGGCAGAGGCYGGGGGTAGAAGGCCAGGCCCCGGAGGGGTGAGGCCCAGGGTTCAGGGCCCAGGGCAGGAGGCTGGGAGAGCCCAGGACTGGGCCCAGCATCTGCTCACTGGCCTCTCCTCCTCCCCCAGTGACCCAGACTACAGACCCATCGCGGCAGCTGGAGGGTGGGAACCTCGCCTTGGCCATCCTGCTACCCCTCGGCTTGGTCATTGTCCTTGGCAGTGGCGTTTACATATACTATACCAAGTAAGTACCCTTCCCAGGGAACTGCCCTCTGGGGCAAATGACATGCATGGAAGGCCAGATGAGAGGAGCTTAAGGTCTCACCTGCTGATAAAACCCTCTCTGTTCCCTCCCTTTTCTAGGCTCCAGGGAAAATCCCTGTTTGGTTTCTCAGGCTCCCACTCCTACAGCCCCATCACGGTGGAATCAGACTTCAGCAACCCGCTGTATGAAGCTGGGGTGAGCCCCTCCCCTTCCCCTGCAGTGCCACATCTCTCAGCTCCCCCCAGGACCCCATAACCTTCTCTAAAATCTCTGTGATCTCTTTTTTGGGAACTTTAAACTCAGCTGCCTACAAAAGGCCATGCCAATGAGCAAAGCAAGCTGTGTGTGAACAATAGGGAGTGGTAGGGACTGTGGCCAACTGGAGAAATGGTGCCCATCCAAAGGCTACAGCTATAACCCATCGTGGACACTCAGGCCCAGTTGCCAAATCCTCCAACTGTTCAAGACAACTCAGAAATTCAGATTTTTATGTTGTTTTTTTAAGACATGAAAGGATGAACCAAACAAATCCATTGTCCAGATTCAGCCTCATTCTCACTTTGTGACCCCCCCCAGCCCCCTATGATTCAATGTTACTTTAAAAACCAAGGGTCTTTCCCCCTCCTCGTCCATGCCTCCTCCCATTTTTCCACCCCTTCCCTTCCTTCTCACTTCAACAACTGATCTGATCTCTCTGTCTTCAGGATACACGGGAGTATGAAGTTTCCATCTGAATGCCAAGACTAAGGCTGCAGGACCCAGGACACCCGTTCCCTCCTCATTCAGGGCAGTGGGGAGCACAGGACCTGGTCTCTGGCTCCTGGCTTCCCTCCTCCCTGTTGTGTAAATAATCTCCCTGTCCCACAAGGGGGTTTTGATGGCCCTGGAGACCCTACAGTAAATAAACCAGCATCCTGCCGCCCAAAGGCTCCTTTTCTCAGTTGCCAAACAAGGGGCCTGCCCCCTGCCCTACTGGCTTTTGGACCCTGGGAGGGGAACTCAGTGCCCTTGCAATTCTTGGGACCCCCTCCCACCCAGGGCACCCCTGAAGGACTGCCCCAACTGCTCTACTGTTCCCTTGGCCTTGTAGGCTTCTCTCCTCCCAGATGCCTAACTCCTGGGCCTTGGAGGGTGAGAAGAGGAAGGATGAGGGGGACAGCTGGGCCAAAGCCCCTCCCTGTTCCTGCTGTGTCCCGAACCCACAATTTCTCCACCTTTGCTTCTGGATTTTTGTTTTTGAGCAATAAATGGAAAATCATCACTTGTAACTGGGCYGGTCAGGGGTATGGGAAGGTGGGCCACAAAATATTAGAGATGGTGATGGTGATCTTTCTGGAGAGAGGCTTGGGGAAGGGGAAATGTTTGGAAAACAGACAGAAATCAAAATTTGGCAGGTCAATGTCACAGGCACTGGCCTGGCYTCAAAAAGTCCTGACTTTTGGCTCAGCCTCTGGAAGACTGGCTGGGACTTCTAGACTCTCCAGCAGGCCTTGAAGTTACTGGACAGGTGACAGTAGCTACCCCTCTCTGCTCACTGTAAGGCAGGAGGCAGACAACTCTGTTTGCTTCATGACCGATTTATCCAAACTTCAGTGCCCTTGAGAGTTCATGTAAACCATTACCTCTGCATTTGCAGAATTCCTGCTGTAACGTGTCTACTTAGCCTGAGTTTATAGGTATCCTTTTCTTCTATAATATCCAATCTACTTTTGAACATTCTAAGCAACTTATAGCATTTTTGTTTTTTGTTTCTACGCTGGCAAACAAACTCAAGGGCTCTACTATGCAAAGCATGCGCTCTACCACTGGGTTACACCCCCAGCCCAATTTTATTTATTGTAGTAAGGGAGACTGAACCCAGGGGCACTATTCCACTGAGATATATCCTAAAGTCTTTTTGTGGAGGATGGCCTCAAACTTGTGATCTTCTTGCCTTGGCCTTCTGAGTGGCTAGGATTTTTTTTTTTTTTGGTACCGGGGATTGAACCCAGGGGTGCTTTACCACTGAGTGACATTCCCAAGCTCTTTTAATTTTTTATTGTAAGACAGGGTCTCACTAAATTACTCATAGCCTCAGTAAATTCCTGGGGTTGGCCTCAAGCCTGTGATCCTCCTGCCTCAGACTCCTAATTTGCTGGGATTACAGGTGTGCACCATCATACCCAGTGGGAGTTGCTAAGATTACAGAAATGTGCCAACATGCCCAGCTCCCCAGCYCAATTTATAGCCTATTTGTCTAAAGGGCCTTTCTCCAAATTAACTGACTTTTACTAATTAAATTTATATATCTCAGTACAACTGAACATTTTCAGGACACTTAAAAGGATGCTAAAATATTCAAAGGGAGGTGAATGAGACAAACTGATCTTGATAATAGCCTGTTAGCTGTTGAGCCAGCCGGGCACTGTGCTAAGCACTTYGCATTCATTATGTTTTTTAATTCTTATGAGAATCCTGTGAAAATGGTCAACTTATTCCCATTTTTTAGATAAGGAAACTGAGGCTCAGGGTGGTCAATCAACTTCTTCAGGAGGCCCAAATAAGTGGCCAAGTTGTGAGTGAAATGTACAAAGCCGCCTGCAGAGCTTTCTGGCTAGTAATGTGTGTGATATGTTCCTGTAGGTGTGAGGCCCCAGGGTCCAAGTGAAAGGTCATGGATCAGGATCCTCAGCACCAAAGGTTGCTGAGGCTGCTCCTTGGAAGCAAGAGGGGACCCTCCCAGATGTCATAGCCCTAGACTGTAAGATTCTAGCTGTAAGGATGGGTGGGCATCCATGACATCAATTCTGCCACCTGGCTGACAGAGAAGCGTCTAAATGAAAACCATCCCAATTGCATGCTTATATCCAGCAACCATATCTGGACCTCCACCCCAGAGAAGCAACACCAGAGCACTTCCTGAATTGGGGGGAAGGGGAAGAACCCCATGACTTTATTAAAGCCTTTTCTTCCTGGTGGTATCTTTGTTGGCTGAAGATGGAGATCTGTGCGATGCATCCAGAACATTTCCTTGGCTTCCAGGGTGGCACTGCTCATGACCAGGAATCCCCCCACCCAAATGAAGTATTTAACAAGTTCTGAAAGAGGAGTTTTGAGGCATGTTCTAGAGGGAAAAATGGGGGAGGGCATGAGAGACCAAGAACAGCACCAAAAAGGGTTGGGCTAATAGAATGTCAAACTGTGGGGAGAACTCTCTGGAAGACAGCTTTTGACTCTTTAGACCCAAAGCTTATGTCTTACCATCTTTCCATCCTTTACCCATCCATCAAACCCATGCACCACCCACCCATTTATGCATCCACCATTTCCTATCCATCTCTCCATCTCCCCACCCACCCACATTTTCCTTCCACCCATCCATCTGCATATCTATCCATCATTCCCCATCTGCCTTTCCACTCACTCATCCATCTACCCCCATCTATCCAGCCACCCACTCACCTCTCTTTCATCTACTCACTCTGCCCCTTTTAAACTCCTTACCAGTAGGGATTCTGTTTTGTTCACTGCTATACTTCACCCTCTAGAGAAGTACTAGAACACAGTAAGTGCTTAATATATGTTCAATGAATATATCCATTTACCCATCCACCATTTACCTACCTCCCCATCTACTCACCCATTCCCTCTCCTAACATTTTTGATTAGCCGCAATGCCAACAATTCAAAGGCTTCCAGGTTCTTCTTTGAAGGTAAGCAAGAAAAAGTCTCCTGAAATCATGGGGGGCTGGCAGGTGGATGAGGGAAAGATGTTTGCTCAGGATGAAATCCTTAATCAAATGTCATCTGGGAAGGAGGGGAAACCACTGTACGGACTGGCAGGTCCTCACAGAGCATCTTGGGATGGCGGAAGAAGGAAAGCAACTTACATTAGTTAGCAGATAAATTATTAAGGCCGGGGCTTTTCTGATTAGTCAAACTATTTCTAATATCAGCCCCGTTAGGAGAGATCTAATGTCCCAAAGGCACTAAAAAAATCAGCTCCTTAAGGACAAGAGAAGTGGCTTATTCTCGGCTGTATTTTGCCTCAAGTTTGGTGATTAATACTTGAAGTAGTGGCCCATGTCAGAAAAATGACTTGTCCCCATGGCTTGATGAACCTGGCACATCATACTCAATAAACATCTGTTGGCTTCAGTTTCTTCTCCCTGAATCCTTTCTTCTTCTGCCAATCCATTACAGGGAGTTCTCCAGGGCTCCACCCTTAGTACCTTTTCCTTTCTTACTCTACCCAAAGCCTCACAGGGCCACCACATACTCTCCCTTCAACTGCCAGCTCCCTCCTCATGACCTCAGGGTCAACTCTCAATCACTAGCCTAGATCTATCCTTTGAGTGTAGAATCCATATTTCCAGCTGTCTGTCTATAGAATATTTCCACCTGGAGTCCCCCATGAGCATGATAAACACACTTAAATAAAGTAATAAAAACATTTCCTGCCTAAAGTCGGAAACATGCTTGCCATGTTCCAGAAAGAATGAGAAGGCCCAGGTGCAGAGACAGGGAAATAAGTGGAGAAGTTACAGACAATGAAATCACAGAGACAATAGTTGTGGAGTGCTCATGCTGGGCCATGTGAGCACTGAAGGACACTGGCTTTTACAAAAATTGGAAGCTACCGTAGAGTTCCAAGAGGAAACATGACATGATCAGACTCAGGTTGCCCAAGTCAGAAACTTGGCAGTCGTCTGATTCCCTTTTTCCCTCTACCATTTCTAATCAGGGCTCCTCCTCCCATCTCTACCATTACTGTCCAGGTTAGGACCATCATCTCTAGTTTGGTTTCTTTGCAGTAATTCCTAACTGGCCTCCCTGCCTTCGGTCTTTCCCCCTTTCCAGTAACTATCAAAGTGACTGATATAAAATTCCCACTTCTTACTCCAACTCTTCAATGGTTTCTTACCTATAGAAAAATGCCTATGATCTTAACAAGGCACACACAGGTCTCTTGGTTAGTCCCTGTCTACCTTGCCTGCATATTCCAGGGGTTAAGCTGCTTCAGGCCCTATCCTCCACCCTCAGTGCACATGCATCTGCTTACACTCACCCTTCTAAAACATCTCTCTGCCCTTACTCATGGAATCTCTACTACTTAGAGTACTCCCACCAGCCCTTGTTTTCTTGCATTTTTTTTTTTTTTTTTGTGTGTGTGTGTACCAGGGATTGAACCCAGGGGGTTCACTGAGCCAGACCCCCAGCCCTTTTTAATTTTTATTTTGAGACAGGGTCTTCCTAAGTTGCTTAGGGCCTCACTAAGTTGAAGCTGGCTTTGAACTTGCAATCCTCCTGCCTTAGCCTCCCAAGCCACTAGGATTACAAGCATTACACTACCATGTCCAGTGTTCTCCTGGAAAATTCATTAGGTGTCTCCAGGAAGCTCCATGATTCCTTTCCTTCCTGTCCTAATTTAAGTTGGGATAGAAGTATTCTTCTCATTGTTTCCACTTCTCATTGTGTTCATACTATATTGTAATTAGCCATTTAATTGTCTGTCCTCACATTAAACTGTGAATAATTCAAAGGCTGAGACTCTATTATATATTTCTGTGTCCCGAGTTCCTAAAGCAAGTACTGGCACATAGTGCAAACTCTAAATGTTTTGTTAATACTGAAAAGTCTCATAGATACCTTATCACGAAGGGATAGCCGGTGTGCCTTGGTGTGGATATGGTCTCTGTCAGAGCTGGAGATGGCAGAAGAGAAAGGAGAAGGTTGAATGAGAACTCTGAATTTGAGGATCAGAGCAGAATAAAATAGAACTGCATGGTTCTAAAATCCCTCTACCCCGCTGGAATGTTTGCCAAACCCTTGCTCTCTCCCCTATAGGTTCCTTATCTTTTTCCCAGGACAAAGGACACCTCCATGAAGCCTCACTCACCAGGTGTCTGTGCCTCCGGTCATGGTGAAGAGCACTGGAAGCAGAGGCCCCAGTTAGAGAAATGACTATGCCCAACCCAAGGGCAGCAAGAGATACGGCTAGGGCAGAAGGGGCCAAGGGAATTTCTGGCCAGCAGTGAGGAGTGGGTACTGGGTTAGGGTTTATGGGGCACTGTGCCTAGGACCAGCTCTGAGACAGGCCACTCAGGCACAGATTCCTGGAGAGGTCAGCTATGATCAGGAGAGGGTCAGGGACTGGAACCAGGCATATGGGAGGGCCTCTAGACACAGCAGTCCTGAGGTGGAGGTCACCGTGACTGGATATCTGAGTCCCTTGGTCTTTTGTCTGCTTTTCCTCAGTGGGCACAGGATTCATGTGGCAGCCAGCTATAAACAAGGCCTCCTCTGTAAGTTCGTTGCTGATCCGAGTCAGGAATTCCTCAGAACGAGATATTGAAACCTTCTGGGAAAGGAAGTCAGAAGATCTGAGTGTGAAAACTTCTGTACAGCCTCAGAATGCTGGGTCTGGGGGCTTCCCAGCTGGAGGCTCTGGGGCTGAAGAGTCTGTTTTGGAGGGTGGAGCCTTGAGATTTGACTAGAAGGCCCTAGACCTGTGAGGAGCAGTCTGAGGGAGGCTCAGGGCTCGGGATGGAGGTTAGTGTCCCAGGGCTTGCAGCTCAGACCAGCTGCCTCTGCCTGGGGCCTCCTCACCTCATTACACTCCCACCTCCAATGCTCACCTGCCCTCCACTCAAGGAGGACACAGTTTGAGACAGCCAGCTGCTCTTTTTTTCGTCATTCCTGGTAGGAGTGGATGCCATCCCCTGTGAACAGTCAAAGCCTGTGTTAGGCTGAGAAGCCAGCCTGCTTTCCCAAGAACTAAGCTGACCTCCATTCCCAGAGCCAAGGTTTAATCAATGCTCTTGGAAGAAATATCCCATGGTCTCAATTTTCTCCTCTCTCTGGGTGGGAGAGGGTATAGGTATATATGTAATCTCAGCCCTAAACTTTTTTTTTTTTTTTTGTGGGGGGGGGAGATGACTCTCACAAAACCACAAGCCCAGACAGAATCTTCCTCTATCTTTCCTCCCAAGGCCCTTCCCAAGCCAAGGCAGCCTACTCGCCGCCCCAGACCTGGCAGATAGGTTGAAATCTTGGGGTACTCAGCAGGAGGGGGAGACGGAGCGGTCTAAGGGGCCCCTATTATGGATCAAGGGGGAAGGGGAGGAGATGGGAAGGGGAAAGTGGAAAGAGGGGGAGCCCGGGAGGCGCCGAGACCCGTTGCTATAAAAACCTTAATGTTTGTGAAGATTCTACAGCCCCGTTGCTAGGAGATTAGAGATTCTAGAACCAAAGATGAGGACATTTTCTTAGCATGCAAAGTTCGTTCCTCCACCTCCCCTCCAGCGTCCTCCAGGTCCCTCACTGGAGGGGGTGACCCCAGCGCTAGAGGCTTAAGTTTGGGAGGATAACGTAGGGTGGGCCCGATCCTCCCACCACTAGGGTGTCCCTAGAAGCCAGAAGCAAGCCAGTCCTGGGCCGCTCTGAAGCCTCTCTAGCCTCTCTCCTCCTGGAGCCGGCGAGAGCAAATGAGGCCAGGGAGTTAGGGGGCGGGGAAGGAGAATGTGGACTGTACCAACTAGCCTTGTTTCCAGGGGAGGCGAAGACTCAGGAGGGCGGAATCTTAACCCTTTATCTTTGCCGTCAGGAAGTCATATCCTTCGTAAAAAGGAAAAAAAGAGATATTCATTTAGGCTGCCTTTCTTTTGCCCTTTTCCTCTTCAGTTCCTTCTTTGGCTCGGCGCCGATGGTTMTTTGCTCCCTCTTCTCCCTCTGTGCTTTGGTACGATCCGATGCAAAGGGGCGGAGAGATGAAAAGGAAAAGGAAACGGGCAGGTCTTAAAGGGGCCGCAGCCATTTTTTAAAGCTTCTTCCTCCTTTCTCTGATCTCCAATTTTGCAAGGACGAGCGCAGAAGAGTAGGTTTCCGGAAGCCGAGCACAGCTGGAGCAGCCGGGATCTCTGCTGGGTCGGCTGCGCCTACGGGGTGGGCGGAGGCGAGGCTCTGCCCATCGGAAGGGCGGGTTGCTCGCGCCCCCTGCGCCCAGAGCACATCTGGTTGGCCCATGATCCCGCCGGTTGCGAGCTTTAACATCTGGGGCCGGGCGCAGGCAGCGGGGTCCAGGGCGCAGGAGAGGCGGCCGATGTGCCGGGCCGGAGGGTGAGGCCGCGCGGGTGGGACTGGGACAGCGTTGGCACCTCCGGAGCTGGTCCGGGGCGGCAAGTGGAACGCCGCGATGCCAAGCGAAAATATTTTCCTTTTCGTGCCTAACCTTATCGGTGAGTGCTGCCTGCGGCCCCGGGAAGAACGGGAGGGCGAGGGGCCTGGGACAGGCTCCCTGATCCCTCGCTGTTCACCCACTTCCCTTTCCAAGGTTATGCCCGGATTGTCTTCGCCATCATTGCTTTCTACTTCATGCCCTGCTGCCCCTTCACGGCCTCCTCCTTCTATCTGCTCAGCGGACTTCTGGACGCTTTTGATGGACATGCTGCTCGGGCCCTCAATCAAGGTGAGAGGCACCCCCTACCTGCCAGCCTTGTCCCCTTTCCCTGTCTCCTAGGACCTCACCGAGGGCTCTGTCATTCCTTTCTCTCTAGAAAGCAGAACAGAACGGCCTGGTTTCATAGCAGAAGGGACTTAAGCTAGCTCTTGAGAATTCCCTGCTATGAGGGTTGGATAAAGGGCAAGCCTGGACTTGGCTCTGGTACTGCTAGAGATCTCCCTGAATAAATTTCCATTCAACAAGTGTTTACTGGGGGCCTACTGTGTGCTGGGCACCTGCAATAGGGAGTTCAATTCGAGATGGGGGATGGGGAGAGAAGGGTGTGGCTTCTGGAGGGTAATTAATCTGCTCTCCAGACCCACCTTAAACTCCTGTTTTGCCCTGGAGCCTGGGTTCTAGGGCTGATGAGTTAAAGATATAGCTTCCCCTCCCCCCCCAACACTGTTTTCTTCCAGCTCATTTCTCATTTCATGCCAGGGTGACCTTTGCACACTTGTCTCACACCCCACCGCTAGCAGCAGTTTTTCTCCCTAGGCAGTAGATATTTTCCACCCTTTTAGACTCTGCATCAGAGTAATATACCAGATATGAGCACCTAGCATGGGGTTCACTGCTCCCTTCCTACCTAACAGTCCCCATTTTTCAGGAACCCGGTTTGGGGCCATGTTGGACATGCTTACCGACCGCTGCTCTACCATGTGTCTGTTGGTCAACTTGGCCCTGCTGTACCCTCGAGCTACCCTTCTCTTCCAGCTCAGCATGAGCTTGGATGTGGCCAGTCACTGGCTGCACCTCCACAGGTCTGCTTCAGTTCTGGGGTGTTGACCGCTTGAAAACACTACAGTGGGGAGGGTGTCTCTGGATGGCCTCAGGCTGTTCAGGAGGTCTCCTTGTAAACTCTGCTCTGTTGAAGGACCCTGGGCAAACCATGTGTGTGTGTCTCTCTCTGAATTAGTTTCAGTCTTATTTACAGTTGGAATTAAGCAATTCCTTAAGGCACTTTTGGCTTGCTATTGTAGGATTCCAAATGGGCACCTGGGCACGGTGATACATACCTATAACCCCAGCTGCTGGGGGGGATCACAAATTTGAGGCCAACCTCAGTAACTAGGAAGGGGCATGGAAGCTTTCAATGAGGCAGGCATTTGAGTTTTGATTGCCCCCTCCCCCCCCACACACAATTTGTAATTGTGTAGCTTTGGGAAAGATCCTGGTTTTCAGCCCCTCCGCTCTACATAGCATCTTCCACATTGGGTTGATGTGAGGGTTAGATAGACATTAAAGGAAATGAATGTTCATGGATTCCTCCTATTTTCTCTCCAAGTTCTGTGGTCCGGGGTAGTGAGAGTCACAAGATGATTGACCTGTCTGGGAATCCAGTGCTTCGGATCTACTACACCTCCAGGGTGAGCATTCCTTGCCCCTCAGCTTCTGGGTGAAGGAACTTTGGTGCAGGGTCAAGAGAGGGCACAGTGATAGGGAGGGACAGTGAAGACCCTCTGGGAAGGAGGGACCTCTAGGCTGAGGCATGAAGGAGCAGGATTGGCGGGGAAGGCTTGAGTGGATCCTCCTGACTACATTGGGGATGAGGCCTCTGTGCACCCATTGGGAGTAACTGGCCGGAGGGAGAAGAGGGAGAGAAATAGAGTGGGGCGTGGTTGGGAGTCAGGCTGAGCCTGGACTTTTAAACTGTGAACCAGAAGTTTTGTAAAGAGAAGTRATTTGCTGAAATGCACTGCCCCCTCCGTGGTAGAGGGCCTTGTGGGGTGCGGGGTGCGTGAGACCCTGCTGGCTACTAAAGCGTTCTTTGTGTGCAGCCTGCTCTGTTCACCCTGTGTGCTGGAAATGAGCTCTTCTACTGCCTCCTTTACCTGTTCAATTTCTCCGAGGGACCATTAGGTAGGAGAGGACGGGCTGGGAGGCAGGTGGGAGAGGGGTCCTGCCCTGCCAGTGGGAGATAAAGGCCTCAGACATCTGGGCGCATCAATCTCCTGTTCCCATATTCATTCCCTCTCTCCACACCCCCTTCCCCTGCTGTCTCCCCGCAGTTGGCTCTGTGGGGCTCTTCCGAATGGGTCTCTGGGTCACCGCCCCCATCGCCTTGCTCAAGTCCCTCATCAGTGTCATCCACCTGATCACAGCTGCCCGCAACATGGCTGCCTTGGATGCGGCAGACCGTGCCAAGAAGAAGTGACCCTGACAACTCCTGGAACCTCCCACCTGATTGGTCATCTTATTGTGCCACATGGCTTCCCTCCCCCTCCCAGGAAGCCCATTCTCATGTCTTCCTAATGTGTTCTCCAACCTGCTGGGATGGGGGTCAGCCTCTCTTTGGTGTTGTCACAATCTCTGTAACCCTGAAGATTAGGCCCACCCTTGTGATCCCCAAAGACCTGGTCTRCAAATCAAAAAGGATGCTCAGGAGGCCCCTGTGGTAGGCAGCCTGTTTAAGGATTACGCATCGCCACACATGAGGTTGGCTCAGCCCTGGCTTCTGGCTTGGCCTGAGGTTTTAGGGACACTTGAGAGAGATGGTGCAGGAGCCATGTTTCCCAAAAGGCAGGTGAGTCAGACCTCTGCCCCCTGCCACAGGAAGCCTGGGACACCGTGCCCAGGAGGAAAGGGCCATCTAGATCCTTCCTATGGCAGTCTCCTCCGTCCGGTCTACCCTGACCTTGAAAGCCTTGATAATAAAGGCAACAGCTTCTCTCTTCTGGACTTGGTTTCCTTTTAGACATTTTTGGATCAGGCCCTGGATTAAGGGGAGATTGGAAAAAAGGAAGATCTACCTGGATGTTTTCCCCCCGGTTTGCGGCTGGCTCCTTTCCGTCATTCCAGAATGACAGAGAAAAGTCCTTCCGACCACCCACGCTCATGCCACATCTTCTCAACCCACCTTTATGTCCCTGATGGTCTGCTTTGACTCATTGATATTTCTACCCCCACTAGAGTGTAAACTCCCTGAATGCACAGACTTCCTGTTCCTCTTTCTATGGTTAGATGGATATTTACCTTAATCTGAAATGAATAGTTACTTAATAAATATTCCAGWAAAGATTAGTTGGTTTCTCAGAATGTGGCCCTTAGACCACTTATAGGTTATTCTCAGAATGCAACCTCTTGGACCTTCAGAATCAATCAGTCTCTTGGGGCTGGGGTTGTGGCTCAGAGGTAGAGCGCTCGCCTCACATGTGCGGGGCCCTGGGTTCGATCCTCAACACCACATAAAAAATAGGTAAGTGAAATAAAGGTATTGTGTCCAACTACAACTAAGAAATAAATTTAAAAAGAAAGAAATTAAGTCTCCAGAGATGAGCCCAGAAGTCTGCAATTTTAATAAACTCCACTCGATTCTTCCTTCCAATGTTGAGAATCACTGTTTGATCTTAAACATWTTTGGGACACCTGTTATATACCATATGCTGGGCATTGTTCTGGGCCTCTGTCCCTAACAGCTACTCCTATCATTAGCTCTCCKGCTCTCTAATGCCAGCTTTCTTTTTAAAACTATCGGAACTACCATATGCCAGACCCTGTGCTGGGWTCTTGGCAAATCTTACTCATTTCATCTTCATAATAGCATAGCAGGTGGCCCCAAAGGCCTTCACATCCAGGGGAACTAAAATTCATCAGAGCTGGGCATAGTGGTACCTATCTATAATCCCAGCAGCTTGGGAGGCTGAGGCAGGAGGATTGCAGGTTCAAAGCCAGCCTCAGCAACTTAGGGAGGCCCCACGCAACTTAGCAAGACCCTGTCTCTAAATGAAATATAAAAAAGACTGGGGATGTGGCTCTGTTGTTAAGCAGCCCCAGATTCAATTCTGCCTACCCCTCCAATATATACRTGTTTGTATACATACATACATATGGGCTTTAACTCCTAAGCCCAGGAGACAATTGGCTTCCCAGCCCTCTTTAAGATCATGGGTGGACAGGGCTGGAGGAGGTAGCAATAATCAGGGAGGTGCTCATGGGGATAGGAGTAGAAGACCTGCAGCACCTCC